AGTCTGTCTTTATCTTGTTTTCCTAATGGCCAGAGACATTGAATATGGCTGAGTGTGGTTCATGCATCTTGTCAACTTCTCTGCAACATTAGTCCACTGAAATTCTAAATTTTCTCTTTGATCCCACTTTTAACCTTTCGTGTATTTATCCTAATATTCATCCAAGTGGGCAGCCAGAATACGGCAACCAAAACCGGCGCACGAGAGTGCATGGTTAGTGGTTGTGTAAACTGAACTGAACATCAACTTCAAGCTTTCATTGGGTCGAGTCAGATGTTTCTAACCAAACCGATGAGTTCTGTGAACGTAACGAAGATTACGGAGTCAGTAAAATATATTCCTTAGATAGTAGTCCTACTATCCGAAGAGTGAGTTAGCTACTGATAAGTACTTCATAAATACACATATTATCAGTATTGATTTTTATGAGCTCAACCAAATATGCCATCCAAAAATCCAATGACACCGGATCACAAAGGAAAACGTCCCGCTCAACTCGATGTTTATTGTGGCCTGATGCGTATATATTTATAATCACCGGCTTGCAAGCAAGCTTGGTCCTAACGCAACAATAAGCATAACAGCACATGTGGGTTAGGATACATAACAGAGTAAAAGCGGGTTTGACAGATAAGTTGAATGACGAGAATAACAATTTTTTTGTTTCACCGCACACCTTTTGGATACTTTTTGTGCTAGTTTATCGCTTTTTACAAGGCACGGGATTTTAACAGGTAAACCGTATAGCATTCGCGCTACTGACTGATGTTCAGGGCTATATCTCTCAGCGTCTCTAACCAAAGACGATCCTCATTCCTTGGGCAACAACCTAGAAGGCTGCACGAACCAAAGCCATGTCATGGTCTGACCGCCAAGGCGCTTCTTCCAGCCTTGTCGGGCACGTGCAAAGAGAGCACGGAAAGGTATTCAATGGGCAGTTATACGCAATACGTGACGAAGCCATTGGAGGCGGTCTAGAGCGATTACTTCTTTTTGAGAACGACTATCGGTATCCAGAACACGACGACGAATTTCGTCATTGGTCACCTGATGTTCCCACCAGACACGGGTAATGCTTCGGTGGATACCTCTATCCACAAGCGGTTCAAGGTGTGCTGGACTGCTTGTGTATTGTCACCCAGCAAGGCAATGCCATCATCATATTTCAAGTCAAGGACTCTGTTCCCTGGGAGTGATTCGACTCCACCGTTTACTAGACCGGACAAAGCAGTCTGTGGAACATCCTCTATGAGAAAGTTGAAAAGGAGTGGCGATACTGAGCAGCCTTGTCGAACTATACTGGAGATGGCGAAAGCTGGCATAGGCCCTAACCCGACCGGAGGTATGACGATACAACACACTTCTCAGGTACTCCATTCCTCGACAAACAGTTCTATATCGACAGAGTCGAAGGCCTCGCGGGTGTCTAAGAACACAATGATTGTTGGTCTTTGGTAGGCATGACGGTGCTCTAGCAGTTGTCGGAGGGTGAGGATTTGATCGGTGCATCCACGACCGACGAGAAACCCAGCCTGCTATTGACGCACGGTATGCGATCGAAAACAAAACTTCCGAGGAAGTTCGCTCATTTCAGCGTGACAGGTAAAATGCTACTTTAATTGAGCCTTCGAAAATTAATTTTTCATATCCGTGAGCCTACATTCTTCGTCAAAACATGAAAGTTTCCCCTTTACTTTTTCGAGCAGAAAAATTTGATGTGACGCACACAAGGCTGCCAAGTTGCGTAGTTGGGTCAGATCTTCAGACATTGTATATTGGGTGTCGGAATGGTGTATTACTCTCCCTAGGCCGTGGGCGGTAAAAAGCAGCCGATAGACGACAAGGTTTGCATTACTAGATCTCCCAAAGCTTAGAGCCACCATACGCGGAATTCAGTCTATCCTTTTATTTCGCGAACACCGGATACGATTTTATATCTGAGTTTTGCAACAATTGTAAAAGCATTCTCACAGAATTTGACAGACAGCTACTATTTTCCGTATTTTGACCTTCCTAAACCACTAATTCTTGTCTGCAATACATTTTTGTAGGCACTGGGGCTTTCCAAGAATTCTATTGTTCCTCACCCGGCTGGATTTCTTACAGTTCCCAATCATCTGATTTGAGAACAAGGTTATATTTTCTTAATGGGCTACCCTACTCTCAATATTTGTCGAGTATTCATCCGTTGCAGCGCATCAAGCGTTGACTCAACTTGTAAACAAGTAGGAAATTTTTTAGCCCATTCGATTGTTAAGAGGTACCAGGCAATCTTGATGGTCTTGGGTGTGCATTTCACTCCTTGGGAGATCGTTAATTCCCTTCAATTTCGTTCATTTACATGCGATGAGTAGGAACTTGTGTTCTGTTCTGTTTAATCGTTTTTTAGCATACATTGTGGTGGTTGAACATTGCGAGAAAATCAAATCAAAAATGCCGAGGGGAAAGATTTAAAGCAGTGGAGAGATCTGTACATAATGTCAGAATCAAGGCATTTGCCTTGAACTAAGTGGTGGGACTTTTGACAGAACAAGGGATTCCAGCAGGGATGGTTCGCGTGGGAGCTCATTAGTTAGCGATTCGGCCTTCCCAGCTTTGTTGATGACAAAGTCGTCTTCCAAGCGCATTCCAATACCAATACACTCCTTCAGGATCCCGAATTTCTCCAGTTCCGATCTGAAGTAGATACCAGGTTCCAATGGAAAAACTACCCCCGGCTCTAAACGACGGGAGTACGAAACAGTTGGAGTGTCGTGTATATCCAATCCGAGATAATGACCAACGTGATGTGGGCAAACATCTTGTATCAGCTGTATGGATGAAATGGTAAATCGGAGTGAGGGGAAGGAAGGCAAGTGAAAGACGTTGCTCAACATTGTGTGGGAACTGATAGCAAAACGGCAGATGGACACG